CCCTTGCAAAGGCCACCTGAGGTGGTGAGAGAATCAGCCACTGATTATCTAACTACAAATAGTTCTCATTCTTTCCTCCCTCCCTTTCTCCCTAATAAATAATTCAGCAGCATTTCTTAATGGTATAGAAACTTGATGGGATAGTAGCAGCTGCATGTGATTACAACATTAAAAAATATTTTCAGAATAAATATTTCACTGTTTATCATGGAGCTGAACAGTAAATTCAGTAAATCATTCTGTAAGCAATAATCTGGCTGCTTAATCTAGGCCCAGTTTGCAACAGAAAATGCAGATTGTTCAGTATAGGGATGTACAGATCACAGAGGAACGATCGAATTCTTGTCCTGCAGCATTTGGTGTAGGATGTTATAACTATCCTTTGTCAATGTGCTAGCAGCTGTGACAACAATGAAATTGGTTAAGTTAGTGGTACACTGGAGGTTGTGTTTATTTTGGGTATGCATACAACTTGGAGGCTGACTGCTTATCTGCTTCTCCATATTTTTCTGTATAACAGTAATCCTGTTGCTGTTGCAAAATCACAGCTAACCTCACAGGATTAGCTTTGTAATGCATGTAGAATTTTGACTCCACTGAATTACCCTTTTCCTAACAGCTGTGCCATGAGAAGTTGATGTATTAGAGAGTGCTTGTTATATAAAATACTCCCTTGGTATTAGAAATAGGGATTAATGCAATAGATTGTGTGTGGAGCTTTTTGGATTACTTATCAAGCAATACGTGTAGTATTTCTATACTAATTTGTCTGCAAAAGGTGGTTCTCAAACCAGTGATCTCTTATTTCTCTGGTACTGCAGTGACTTCAGAAGGTGGGATTTAATTAGCTCAAATTGAGGAGGCACGCTGGAGGAAGGATGCTGCTGTTTGGAGACAATGAAGTTAGAACAGCCTGTTCACTGTCTACAGGCCCTGTCAGTCAGTCATGAGAGTAGAAATAACTGGCAGGCACTGCTCTTCCCTCTGCTTTTTTGCAGCTATTCAGATGGATACCTGTGACATTCACTTTCTCTGGATAGAGAGACATAATTCTGTCTCTAAGGAGAAGCACAGAGAAAAGAAGAGAAAACAATCTTTATCTCTGCTCTTTTGTTTTCCCCATGTGCAATTTGGTATGGAGATTGTTTACCTGAAGTGATTGCTTGAATGGATGCTGGTGAAGGTTGTTTGGATTCGTGGACCAATTGAATCCAGCTGTGTCAGACTCTCGAGCAGAGAGAATCACAAGTTCATTTAATAGTTAGGTAAGTAAGAAGTAAGTATGTAGAATAGTATAGTATCTCTTCAAATAGTATATTAATGTAATACGGTATAGTTTTAATAAAGCTATCCTTCAGCCTTCTGATCTGGAGCCAGACATCATAATTTGTTCCCAACGTCCAGGGTTTGCCACATTTTTGCTATAGATATCTGATCAACAGTAAAGCTTTGTTAATCTTAATAGTTCCCTGAAAAACTGGAAAAGTTTTATTAAGTCACCCAGGGATTATTGTGATCAAATGAGATGAAGTGCCAATTTCCACATAGGTTCAGGAAGAGTGTGAAACAGCTCATCCTGCTGCAGCCCAGAAGCTGCATGTCTGCCCTGGGGCAGGGGAAGTGTTGGCCATGGGGGCAGGAGTGTGGTGCAGGGCCCAGCTGAGCAAAGGGCTCAGCCTGCGTGTCTGTGTGCTCAAGTGTTTGTGTGCTTTGCTGCAAGGCATTATCAGCATCCACGCCATAACCTAGGAGCTCATTGCACTAACTGGCAATTTTCAAGGAAGCTGGCTCCACAACCAGTGGTGCCAAAGGCCACATGGGAAGCAGTGATGTGTGAGAAATGCACCTGAGTACATTTCTATTTCACAAATCTTTACAGTTCTGAACTGATCTGCTCCAGTACCTGCAGGTAGTGAGAGCCACACCATCTGTGGCAAATGTTGGACAATCAAGATATAAGGCTTTGTGTGTATAAGCTCACAACAGGTGTGGCTGTGTGAGCTGCATAACTGTAATATCATATCATTTCAGTCTTTAATCTTTTTCTGGCAAGTTTTTGGATGTGGAAGCAACCTGAGAGAAAAAGTTCTTTTAGATTGTATGCATAGTCTTTCACACTTGTGTAGCTGAGTACTGCTTTTCTTTTATTCTGCTGGGGTTCTGTATAAGAAACAATGACAATGCTATTTTTCCTACTGAAATGCTCTTTTCTAAAAAAAAAAACAAAAAAAACAACAACAAAACAAAACAAAAACCCAAAAAACCAAGCCCAAACATTGTGTACTTATAGGAGGGTTAATGGAACTTCAGTGAAAATACCCAACAGAGTCTATTGCCTTTAAGTAACACAGATGCATTTTATCTCCAAGTGGTACACGCTAAACATTCTTTGGTCACATTAGTCTTTGAAGAAAACCTTTCCTGGATACTGAAGATCAAATGGAGGATAACAGCTGCTTGGGATAATTAGTGATAGGAATAGACTGATTTATGGAGCATCAGGCAGTACCAGCAGCTATGTTTCTGCAGCTTTGAGATAGCTTGGTGTTTAAAAACAAGATGCTAGAAGAGTGGGTTGTGGAGCTTAGTCTGTTTGGATCAATAGTTCTGCTTATAATTCTGCACTGGAGCAGCTCTGAAGGAAGAGTTAAAGGTGAATCTCAGATTTTTAAAATGTTTTTATCCTTGAAGCTCTTAATAACCTGAATCTGATGTACTGAGTAGTAAAGGAGTGTTCCTCACATACCCATGAAATTTGCCAGAGCAATCAAGTCTGAGTTCCATCTCTACATTAGATCATCTTACTTCCAAGCCTATCCTTTATCTTTTTCTTAGTAAAATTTGGAACCTTCTTGCAATGTTCTGTCAGCAGTGAAACAGCTTCTAAATTTTGTTCCCTATAAATTATTGGCAACAGGTAACTTCCTAAAATCACAGAACCTGGTTCTGACCAACATGTTTTCCTTGCCATCCATGCAATACATATGGCCAAATACAGACTATGAACAGTTTTTGGTTCTTGGGCTGGATTAGGCATCATTAATAGATAACATTTCATTTTTGTGTGTGTGTTTGTGTGGTTTTCATAGTTTGTTTGGGGGTTGGGTTTTTTCCCAACATGTTATTGCTAATTTCCAGTCTTATCCAATGCTCATGGGCAGAAATAGCTATTGGACCTTAGATCCTGAAGGAAAAATAATTATACAGTGAAACTAAAGGAAGTCAGAGTGAGGAGGTAATCAATGTACAGATAATTTTTTTAAAAGTACATTAATCTGAAGAGGTAAATATTACTGATCTTTATAGTAATATCTAGAGATATCTAGAAGTCAGGTACCTATTGAGCTGGACAAACTAGATATCACTGGACAAATATATGGTATGAGGCTCTTTGCAAAACAAACTTAAAGAAACAAGGCTACTTGAAGGCTGGCAGAAGAAGCACATGTTTAAAGAAATTATGTGAGTTGTTCTGAACTATGCAGTAGTAAATAAATAGTCAGAGCTTTGCTGTTAGCCAAAAACTCATCCTTGTCTGCTGGTGAACATGCTAAAAATCAATTTTAATGCCTCTAGGCTTCAGTACTAAATGAGCCTTTGATTAATCCTAAACACATCCAATTCAATGAACTTGCCCTGTAAGAGTAAGTTATGACCTGAAGTTTTATCATTTAGCTGTTGAGTCTAAAATATTTGAGTAGTAATGTTTTTGGAACTGATAACTATTTTCTCTTCTTCATCTCACAAATTTAATGAAAAAACTCTGTGTCAAACTTGTATAAATGGATAATGTGTGTATTTTTTTCAGAAAGTGTAGGTGGTGGTTTGAGGTTCTTTTGCTTTGTTAGCTGCTTCTGTTTCCAACACTTGGGGAATGTGCTCTGTGAAGCTACGGCCCACTTGGGAGATGAAAAGAATTAGGTGGTTTGGAGGACTTGGGGTTGCAATAACTTCATATACATGCAAAACTTTATGGAACTAGTGGCATCTACAAATGGGAACCAAGGCATCCACAATCAAAAAACTGGAGTGTTGGTGCAGGCCTTGTTACTGACTGATCAAGGTTTGTCGTTCCAAGAGCTCTACAGTGCTTATATGAGCTTCTCCAGGAGTCACCACCATTCCCACCCCCAACTCCAGAAAGGGTCATGTTTCTGTTCCTGTGGAGACCATGTGTACTGAGAGAGAGGATCTGTGCTGGAAGCTGGACTCTTATCCTTGGGCAGTGCAGGACAGACTGGCTCTTTGCTACATGAAAGCCTTCCATGGGCTGAACCTGTCTTTGCTGCATGTCCTCAGCATTACTGCAAAGAAGTATGAGTCACTGTATAAAAACTTATATGTATAAATGTGGTCCATTTCCATAATAATTCCTGACCCAAAGCAAAGAGATTTTGCCATTAATAATTTTTTTTAACTTTGGCAGTTAATTTTTAATCTAAAATTCTTCCAAGTTTCTATTTGTGGATAAATCTAGTCTTGAGGATATAGGATAATTTTGCTTTTTTCTTTATGTTAGGCAGATAAAAATCCTGCTTTTTTCTGAAATAGCAGTTCAGATCAATGAAGCTGGTGATTCACACTGTAAAATTCAATTTATATGGTAGGTGCTAAGCAAATAATCAGATTCTAATAAAGGAAGAGAAGTTCAGTTTTAGATCTGGGACCTGCTATGACCTCCATTTTTCTGCAATATTATCTAAAGCATAACTACAAATCATACCTGTCAGAATTCTTTTTTTTTTCATGTATTGCATTAGTTTTTCTGAGTCAATAAGTTATTCTTTTAAATTACCATGTAGCATTTAAGCAGGATTCTGGAGTGTGAGTACTGGCCAAGATATGCATTTGCTTCATATTGTTTAGCAAGGTTAGGAAACATTTCTTAACATTTATAATTGTACTTTTCAGCAATATTTTTTTTCTTACATAGGCCTCTTCAGCAATTTTTGTTCTTAATATATGCCTTACCAGAATAATACTTTTTATTTCTTTTGTAGATACAAGTAATTTCTTTGTCAAAAGAAGGTCTTTTGCTCTCCAAAACCTCACTTTGATTACTTCATATTAAATTTAAAGGGTGTTCTCTCTATATTTTATTGACCATGTAAGCATTGCTATGACTTTTATTCCAGTTGTTAACTCTAGACTTTATGCTGGTGGTTACTGCAGCAGTTAAAATATATTGTTACTTTAACAGTGCTTGTATGACACATCTTTTAGCTTGCTCATGAGATGCAACTATCTGCTATAGCTTTACTGCTATAGTTGGCACATGAAGGCAATAAGTAAAATAAATTTATTCTCCCCCTCCTTTTGTTTTCTTTATCACTGTTCCTCAAGTGGCAATTATAACTTCAGAGTTTATTTATTCATTTGAACCAAATTAAAAAATATATAATAAGAAACCTAGATGCTGTTGAGTTACAGACACACAACCAATTTTACAACATGAAGGTATCTATCCACTTATCTATCATTTTTTCAGCTTGTTAGAAGCATGTGGAACATAGCGTTTGGAAGCTTCTGCAAGCTCTTTTTATTGTTGGGTGTACTTTCCTCCTTTTGGAAGGCAACATATATATGAGTAAAGAATTAAACATAAGGTGGACTTCAGCATTAATCACCTGTTTCAGTGTTTGTACATATGTTTTCATGAATGCTTTCCTCATGTTCATTGTAGATCTAGTCTGTCTTCCTCTTGTTGCTTTCATATCCAAAACTCTTCACAACCTACTTTTTTCTCTGTTGTCCCATCCTTATAATTTGCTATGTAGTATACAAGCTTGGCTCCTGCCTCCTACCTCCATCCCACATGTGTTTTAAAACAAGCACGTTTTCAATCTCCCCTTATGCTGACATTTTCTTATAGATGTTTCACCATATTGAACATGATTAAAACCTGATCTCTTAGCACTCTCATTGACCTCATGGTTCATAGTGTGTCCCTTGGAGCTCATCTCTGCCATGAAGGCCATAGAAACAACAGCAGCTCTTATATTAAGAATACTGTCCACTATGCTTTTCAATATCATCTGGCTGTCAACCTGTACTTCTCTATCTGCTAATGTGTTTTCACTTTTTTTTTTTTTTTTTTTTTTTTTTTTTTTTTTTTTTTTTTTTTTTTTTTTTTTTTTTTTTTTTTTTTTTTTTAAGCAGGCAGTCTGAGGTTTTGCTGTACTTGTGCAGTACCTGTAGCAACATGCTGGAGCCCAGAAGTAGCGCTTACAGGCACTGCAGTGAATACAGATAGCTTTAAGAGTATATTAGGCGTTCTCAGTTGTGTAATTTTGTTGTCTTCTATTAGTAGCATAATAAGGTGAACTAACTGCTGTTTTGTGATTAAGCAAAATTAGTCCAAGCTCCTTTTTGTGTCCCACATAGGTAGTTCAGAGTTAAATCTCTGCCTTGTTCTTTCAGTGTAGCTATTGAACCATATGTTACAAGTTTCCACATCAAATCCGTTTTGTAATGTCAGTAAAGTTTTCAGTTTTTTTCTGAAATATTTGAGGTGCCTGTGATTCTTTCAATTCTCTCCTTTTAAGCTCTGGGACCAGTCCATTCCCAATGATGGGCCTGGAGTGAAATAAAGCGACCCTTTGTAGTCAGCCCATTGGCATTAGTTGCTGTTGCTGGAAAACTCTGGCATACTTCTCAGGGTGTACCTGCCAAATATTTCAAGAAGCAATATGACTATGAACATTATTCAACTTGAAAGTACACTTACTAGATATAACTGACCATCATTCCCAAGAATAAATTATAACCTATACTTGTGGGTAGGGGATGCTAGGTCTATTGAGGGGACTTTGTCTCTGCTCTCATCAATCCTGTCCTAGTGTATTCAAGTGTGTAGTACAGAAAGGAGAAGTGGATAATGTGTGTGGGAGGAAAAGGGGAGAATGAGGTAAAAAAACCCCAAATCCTGCAACTAAAGATCATAACAAAGAATCTTCATCCGCAATCTCATGGCTGAATCCTGATTATGATGGCTGAAGGATCATGTTGCGCATATGCAGTTGTGAGCATCTTACATAAGTTACAGACTTGTAGATTAATTTCCTGTTTGAAGATATATAGCATACTAAGCAGTACTATTTAAATGATTGTCTCTAGATTAGTCCTCAATAGGTATGGCTAAACAACATGCAAGCAATGTTCTTTTTTCAAATATCTTACCTCTAAGCAAGTGAATTCCCCAGCTCCTCTGTCATAAGCTCACCAAGAACAAGTATGCTGCTTTAGGGCTTCCTTAAAAAGAAGGCTGTAATAAAGTGTCAGTTTTGGACCATGCTGTCAGTTTTGGAAGGGGGAAATAAGTAATAAGGTTATGTGCCTGAAGTGTAAAGGAGGAGGAAACATTTGACTAGCTGCATGCTTCCTTAGCCTAAATCATAAAAATTTTGTTCTTTATTCCTGGAAGTCATAGATGTTATTTCCTGTCCATTGTGTAGTTTATATTTGTGCTGAATACCTTTGTAGACAAGGATTGGCTCTGCAGCTTTTGTCTGTGATATCTAATATAGGACACAGTGAGGTCTTGACCTCTTTTGTGACATTTGTGTACAAAGTCATACAAATGATGACTAATGAAATAAAAAGGTCTAAAATATTACAGCTGTGTTGATGAGACTGTGTGAACACACTGCACCATTTTCCTGAGTCCTGCTTTTAACAAGTGTATAGAATTAACCTTCTCTAGGCACAAATACAGTAGCAAAACTTTGTTTTTGTATTTTTTCTGGAACCATCCTTTGTGCAGTAAAGACAACCCCGGATTACTTGTCCGGCAACAGAAACCACCTTGATGGCAGAACTGAATCTGTTAGTCCATAATCACGTTTCTCCTTCTGCATAACACCAATCTCTCCATCAGCTCCCTTCTTAGGTGCTCCTGCAACAGTGATGAGGATACACTAAACAGTGCCAAAGGCTCTGTGCTTGGTGTCCACGTGGTAGTTGCAGGTAGCTGGTGGATCACAGCATGCACTCCCTGCATTCTGAGGTAGCACATCAGTACCAGGGGCTGTGGACAGAGCAGTATGGGTGGTGCAGGAGGGGATGCTCCCCTTGCAGGCTGAGGTGGGAGGAGTGCTGGGCTGTGCCACCTCACAGGCTTTTGTGTTCAAGGGAATTTGTGTTCATGCTGTAGCATTGCCATAGCACCTTTGTCCCTGTGGTGCCAAGGACTCAACAAGCCAGAGGCCTCTTTTCAAGCTGTCAGAGGTGCTTCCATCTTGTGCGTTGGAGAAGTGTGAAACTTCAGGTGGGTTGTGCTTCATTTTAGGCTTTTAAGATCAAGCAGAAGGAAGCAGGTCTGTTTTTTCAGAGGGGATGTTTAATAATAGAATATGCATAGAACTGGGTAGGATAGAAATTTTGTTCTCCAGTGGTGGAGATGGTTTAATGGGCTAAATGTATTTAAAACAGTTTTGCTGTCTGGGAGAACCTCAGACTGGCTTACATTTTCTTGTCTCTAATGTGCATATATTTAATTCCATTTTTTTTCTCTTGTATACTGTCATTTGAAAGTGAAATATGCTTAAACAAATAGATTCTTTAAAAGTAGATTGTGCTGTGGCCCCATTTCTGCTGCCTGTCCTTCTGTTCCTGTCACTGCCCCATCTGTTTGTACTCATTGTCCTTTTCTGGCAGCCTGTGTTTTACCTCATTGTCCCAGTGCAGACACAAATGGGCTAACGAATGGACAGGTTTAAGGTAAATGGAATTGGTCAAAACCTGGCATTGATCTTGGGACTGACCATCCTAAGTTTGATTGTAATAAAGGAACAAGAATACTCATAGTATTCTTAATTCTGGCCTTAAAGTGGCATGTGTAGAAGATGGTGGTAAGATTGTAAAGAGGTATGAAATGAGGAGGTAAGGTTTTTCAGTAAGTGACTCTGTTGTGTCAGAGGGAATACATGAACTACAGAGGGAGTAAAAAAAGCAAAGTCTCAAGTTGATTATTACAAAATACTGGAGCTGAAATATCTTGCCTAGGCAAACGTGTTGATTTTTTCCCCCTTAAAATCCTTTCTGAATGTCATCTGTCTTGTCAGTAAATGCAGATGAGGGCTTGTGGACATGACCAGACTTCCATGCACTGGTGCATGAAACTAGATTCATGATAGTCAACATGTCTTGCCACAGGCAGATTAGAGGCTTTGCCTGATCAGTGGTTGAAACTCAGTGCCATCCACTTTTCTAGAAGCTAGGTTCTAGCCCTGAAGACATGTATATGTATGCTTAATGGGAGGCTTATCCCTGCATCTAAAATCCATTTGTACTAATGATTCAATGAGTCATCAAACCTATGAGTATGGCTTGGCTTCTTCATTTTGTCTCCTGAAGTTCAATTTTTGCATTTTTTCCTTCAGAATAACATTGCATTAATTGGCTGGCATGCAGGAAAGCTCCTTAATGGTATGCTTGGAAATATCTGTGTGCCCAGTCACAGTATGATTGTCCTGATTGTTTCCAGTTTTCTTATAGAGACAAGATGACAAGTAGGAGAAATAGCAATAATGGGGATACGGAACTCTCATTTTGAGAGCTGGTTATTTTCATCAGCTAAATATTGATGTCTTTCTTAGACCTGATTTCTAATTGTTTAAAAATTGGAGGTAATGCAGTTTAGTGCAATGACTGATACTACTGTCTGGATAATGAGTGGTTTCGGAAACTTTGGTTATGGCTTCCAAGACTTTGGGCAACACCATGTGGTGTTGGATTAGTCAGTCTTGAAATGATCCAAAAATTATATGATGCTATTTGCAAAAAGTGGTCAACCAAGAGGAGAATAATATTACAGAGATAATACAGCTATTTCTGTATTTAAATGTTGCTGTTATAGTCCCATTGGTACAATCTGTACACCTATGGAGACTAACTGATTTCAAATTTGATGCTTTAACCACTAAATCATCATCTCCAGCTGGCACTGAAATAAAGTGATTTGCATCATCTACATCAGCAGGGAAGTGTCACCTTTGTTAAAAAAAGAACCACCGACACACAGACTTAATTATCTATTCAGAGTGCAAGCTAACAGCTCAAATGTAGTGACTTTTCTCCAAAACCCAAGCAGATATTTAAAGAGGCATGATCAAAATCACACTTCTCTGAAAGCTTAACAGTGACTTCTAAAAATAGTTATAACTGATTTAAAAAAGAGGCTTGATTCTGTGTTTTATATTGTGTGTCTTTTATATAATTAGCTTTACTGCTTATTCGTTGCCAATTTTCTCTCCTCATAATGTGACTGAGGAACACAACTTTTTAGTAAAGGAGCAAAATGTTTCAAA